GAGAAAGATGATAAGATCATTGCAGTGTGTGCTGATGATCCTGAATACAAGCATTACAATGACATCAAGGAGCTTGCCCCCCACCGTCTCTCTGAGATTCGCCGCTTCTTTGAAGACTGTATCCTTTCGAACTCTCTTTGTGTGGACCAATTCAGCAATTGAGAAGATATTATGTGTCTTAACTCTACTGAATCACAGATAAAAAGAACGAAAACAAGGAGGTGGCAGTTAACGATTTCTTACCTTCAGGAGTTGCTCTTGAAGCTATCCAGTACTCAATGCAAGTGTTTCAGTCAGATCCAATGAATTCTACATTCTAGTTTCATTGCAATCTTTGTTTTTACAAGATTTTGAATTGAATAATTTGCAGGGATCTTTACGCCGAGTACATTCTGCACACCCTGAGGCGATAGACCAATGCAATTTATCCCACCCGAGCACCTTAATAAAACCCGGTCGTACCCATATTATTTTTTGATTTTTTGTTTTTGTTTTTGTTTTGCTTTATCAATTTTATGAATATATTGGATGAGTTCTCAATAGTCTATTAAAAAAATTTGTTCTAACTTATAATGTCTCTCTTTGTTTGCTTACATCAATTTTTTGAACTTAGGAATCACACATTTATAAGAAATGCATCTCTTTGTTCCCCTCTCCAATCGATATGAGTTTCACAATCAATTCTCGTCTAAATTTTTATTTTTATTTTTTTGTTTGTGCATATGACCGGTTCATATTTTTGAAGTAAGTGTTACACTATCTAATCACTAAATATTATTTCTAAAATAATAAAAGAGTTAAATGAAAAAAAAAAACTAAAACTTGTAGATGTGTATGTATGTGATACCAAACACGTGCAACAAACACGAAAGGAGAATAATAATAATAATAATAATTTATGGTTTTGTATTAATGATAAAAGAAATAATTGAAATGTGTAAAGGAAAAAGGAAAAGAAAAAGAAAATAATTGAAAAAGAAACAAAAAAGAGAGAAAAAAAAAAGAGAAAAAAAATAAATATCATATAAATAGAATAAATGGGCCAATATAATAAATAGTGTTTTGAGTGGCCATGCTGGTGTACCGTGATCTGAATAAATGAAGAGAGAGAGAGATGAAAATAGGTAGGACGTGGGCCCCCATTCTCTTAAGACTTCTTTTGTCCGTATGGAAAGAGGGGATGTGGGTGGCAGGCAGGTAGCAGGAAGCGGCACCGTTTTGCTAACCTCTCTGGGCCTACTCTTTCATCATCTACCTATCTTATTATTAATACTTTTATAACAAACATGCTACCTCTATACCTTAGTACACTTTTCTTTCTTTCTCAATGTAATGTTGTAATGTACCCATCAATTAATCTTCTTTTTTCATTCTTTTCTAAATGATATGGAGCTAGATTGCATAAAAGTAATTGCTATTTTTTAGTTTAAATTGAAATTTATCCGATCATTATTTTATATATATTTTCATAAATAGTTTTTAATGTAAAGTAAAATTTATCCAAGCATTGTAGTATATAAAACGGACCCAGCAGTAGTGAAAGTACATACCATATATGTACTTTGCCAAAATGAAAAAATAATAATAACCCATTTTTATTGCTATGTATAGGGACTATAATAATTACAAACTAACCAAACTTGTATCATTTTTTTTCTTTCTTTTTTCAAGACAGAGATTACTATTATCATGCCCATCACATTGAGTAATTTTAATTATTGTAAACCTTTTTTTCTGCTTCATTATTATATGAACAGTAGATACAGAGCCTAGCTTTCGGCTTTACAAAAAGGCTCTGTCACAAAATTTATGACTTCACTCCCCCCTTTCTCTTTGGTCAACCCTTATTGTTTGCTTCTTATCTTCTGCATCCACTAAAACAGCCTAATCTATAATAACAACAACAATAATAATACTATTTTTCCTTTCTTCTCCCTATCATTTGTTTGCTTTCTTTTACTTCTTTACGTTTTCCACAAATTTTTAACTCAAAATAAATACACCTTTTACAAACTATTTATTTAGATTGTGGGATATTTATTTTGTTTTTATGTCTCTAATTTTTGAAAAATATAAGCTAACAAACAAAATTCTCACTATGTTCCCAAAAGTCTTAAAACTACTCGATAAGTGATTTTATTGAACATCAGAATATGCAATTATTATGACTTATCATATAGGATTACAACCAGACTTAAAACTTGACATTTTGGTTTTTCACCTCATTTGATATCTTTCTCTTTGAATGAGATCTTAATTCCAGCGACGGTTTCCTTAGATATCTTACAACTGGAATCTCTCTTTTTTTCAATTCAGTTCCTCCACCACCACGAACCCCAGTTAGATTAAGGCATGATACACTTTTTAGTTATTGGGAGAACCCAATATCTTATTCGGGATGGTATCACTTTCATATACATTATTATATGTATATCACTTTCATGTACATCAAACCCTAAAGTATGCATCACTCTCTTGCCCCATAGACACTTCTAGGTATGCATCATTTTTATATACATTTTGGCTCTACATTAATCACTTTATTGTACTTATAGTCCTTGAAAGTGCATCGCTTTCGTGCAGTCAAATTTTATAAAAAAAGAAGGGACCTTCTATGAGCATGCATAAAATTCTAGATATAAGATATTAATTTAATAACATGATCTAACGTGCATAACATTTTTACTTTATTTTTCAAACAATCATATAAAAATTTCAACATTTCAAGAAGAAGAAGGAAAAAAAAAATAAATAATAAAATAAAAAATTCAACCTAGAGCTTGATGTTCCAACGGTAAAGTGAGTTATCTAAGCATCACTAATTTTTGGTTGAAAATAAAAGTCCTAAAATAAATGCCTAACTATAGAACATAATCATACTCAACCAGGACCACAGGATAGATGAAAAAATGACTCTTCCTTGGCCATCATTAATAATCCAATATAATTAGTTAGAATCCTAAACATGAAGGAGTTTAAATGGCTAAATTCAATTCTGGAGTAGTTTACAAGAGTTCGAAGCTGTTAGTTACCTACCGAAAATCTTGAAGAGAGATCGAAATTAGAATCCAACTTAGACCGCTACTCACTCTGTTGGAGACCGAGGATGCCAAAGTCGAACAAAATTGGGCGTGGGTTAGGTTTCCATCGAAGTTTGTGGTTGAAATAATATTTTAATAATGCACACTAGAATACAACTTAATAATAATTTAGAAATAAGTATTTAAAAGTCAACGGGTACAGCAACAATGTTCCAATTAAATCTGTTGGGATGCCGTCCGCAAATGGAATCCTTAATTTCCTAGCAATTAGGTTTTGAATTTTTTAGTTCTACTGGGGAACCCAAATGTTGGATATATTATCTCTTCAAACTGCTTCATGGTTTCAATATGTATGGTTTCAATATGTATGGCTTCAATATGTATGAATTGATTTGAACATATGACTTCTCAATTCAAAATATATGTGCTAATTCCTTAAAAAGCTATTCTCAAATTAAGTTTTAAGTGGAGTAATTATATTTTTAATATTTCTAAAATGTAGGACCCAAATAAAATCAACCTTAAAGTTTAAATCCCAACTATTATTTCATTGTTTGTAAGATTTAGATCTCTCTCTAGATTTATTAATTCATTATCGTACACCCACATTTAGTCTTATCTACAATTTATTGGACCACATTTGCATCACATTTATCTAATTAACAAATGATTCATTTAAGGCTTAACTAATTTCGCTTCTACTCTCTCCAGCCCTTTAATTTTCAAATACATGGTCTCCTTGCTTTTTGTGACTACATAAGATAAAATAATTGGGCATATACCATATCAATTTCAATTTCCATTTAATACTTATCTTTCTTCCACAGTTGGTGTACTGCCCCTGCATTTTTCAACTAAATAATTAATTTCTTGAGCTTTATTATTTGAGTTTTTTGGAGAGTTTGAAAATAGTGTGAATTGGAAACAGAGAAAAAGTAGTAAAAAAAGGTCCGCCTATTTCGACGCTACTAGTTGCGCGTAGATAAAAGTTAGTTTTGGAGTTCTCTAACATGCCCACTTTTGTTTTGTGTGAGGATAAATCATAGATACATAATTATATGTTTTCTATTGGAACCGATAATAATAAAAAAGAATTATATGTAGGTAAAGAAGAGAATAGTGGTTGTTAATCATGCCTAAAGGCCTAATTCTACTCAATTACCCCTTTGTAGCATGAGGAAAGGTTTTGATTTTCACATACATGTTAGGGCAACTATATTATTATTTTTTTTTATTAGACATGACCTAACTTGGCCAAACAAGATTAGTGATTTGCGTACCTAATTAATCACTTTCGTATGATTTTTGGTTACCTCTTAACTCTTAAACACATTTAGGAATTTGCCCTACTAATTGGTTGTTAGGTAATTTTGAGTTCCTCTTGCGACCATTTTATTTTATTTGTGAAATTTGGCCATTCAAGGAGTATCACTTTGAAATCATTATCCATCCTGTGAAATATATATATATATATATATATATATATATATAGAGAGAGAGAGAGAGAGAGAGAGAGAGAGAGAGAGAGAGAGAGAGAGAGATATGCGAAGTTAGTAGTTAGGAGAGAAATATTTAGTTAGGAAGGAAAGTGAAGGAAAAAGAGTTAATAAATGAAGTAGCTAAGGGGGGGCTATGGAGTTGGGGCTATGGAGTTAAGGTAGAAGGCTATGGAAAGGGAGCATGATATTGAGGCACAGCCTGGGGGCTGGGGGACCAAATAAAAACTTAAAAAGAATCTTTTGCAGCGAGCAAGGATGATAGATAGATATATATGGAGGTGGGAGTAGGGAGAATTGGGTGCCCTTTAATTTGTGCTCTCTCTCTGTCTCTCTTTCTCTCTTTCTTTTCTTCCCCCACCCACCCACCCGCAGGACCATTTTATCAGTTTTTCCACAAACAATATTACATTTCAATCAATCACTCACTCCCCCCACACACAAACACACACACACACACACTATCCTCTCATTCCCTTTTTTCTAACCTCGATGCCCCTAATCTCTTCTCAAGTTATCCATTTTACCATTATCCCCCTTAACCCAAAATGCTTCCCCTATCTCTCTTTCTCTCTCTCAAATTTGGGGTTTAATCTCCTTTGTTCTTTTATTGATCATAAATCTCCTAGTTTGGAGAAGCTTCTTAGGAGCTAGGAAAGCTATAGGGTGTGCGTATGCAATGTATTAATCTAGTTGGGTTTAAATAAAGTAGAGAAACCACATCACACGCACATTCTCTCTCTCTCTCTCTGATTTGCGTTTGTGAGTGGAGCTCAATTTCCTCTCAAGTGTGTATCCCAATCTCAGGAATTTGGTAGCACCCAGGCAAACAAAAAAGGCAACAAAGAAATAGAGAATCAGCTTCAGTTTATTCAGTCTCCAATGGGTTTTCCTGTTTAGGGTTTACAAGGTTACCCAACAATCTCCTCCATTACCAACACTAGCGCCACAGATATGCTTCTTTTCTCCTAATTATTCGCTCTACTTCATTTTCCACCAAACCCCCCATGGATTTTCTCACAAAATCAAAGCAAGAAGAAGAAGAAGAAGAAGAAGAAGAAGAAGAAGAAGAGGAGGAGGAGGAAGAAGAAGAAATCCCGACTGTTGCATGCGATTTCTTCACAAATTCCCACTCTCAAAACCACCACCACTGCCTTCAACACCCTCCAAATCACTCCCAAAATCAGCACCCTCCCATGGACTTGTCCCTCAGAATTGACTCCAACAACAATGGGTTTGCGGTTGAGAGAGAGCACATGTTCGACAAAGTGGTCACTCCAAGCGATGTCGGAAAATTAAACCGTCTTGTCATCCCAAAGCAACACGCCGAAAAATACTTCCCTCTCAACTCAACAACCAACGACAAGGGCCTCATCTTGAACTTCGAGGACCGTAACGGCAAACCCTGGCGCTTCCGTTACTCCTACTGGAACAGCAGCCAGAGCTACGTGATGACAAAAGGCTGGAGCCGTTTTGTCAAAGACAAGAAATTGGATGCAGGCGACGTGGTTTCCTTCCAGCGTGGCGTTGGCGATTTCGCCAAGGACCGCCTTTTCATTGACTGGCGCCACCGTTCCGACACATCTCGCCCTCACCCACTCCTCCTCCTCCCACAGTCTCTTCGGTGGGCATCTGACCGCCACTTTACTACTCTCCCACCTCCGCCGCCACTGCAGCCCAGACGAACCCACCACCATCTCTATCCCAATTACGCCTTACAAATGTCAAATTTGGGGATGGGCAGTCACGGTAGTAATAATAATTCTTCCATGTATTATTTTCAACCCTCCATTTCCTCTTCTACTTCCTCCTCTCTCTATAGGATGCGGAATGGGGATGGGATTGTGGTAAATAATGAAGGGTCTTCGATGGGGATTAACAAAGGCGGCTCCGGCGGCACGACCCTCAAACGACTCCGCCTGTTTGGAGTGAATATGGAGTGTGCTGCAGCTGATGGAGAAGGAGAACATGATGTTCCAAACGGCGGCGTTTCGAGGAGAGGGAAAGAGCCCTTGCCGTTGAATTGGGATGAGTGATCGGTTGGTTTTTGTGCAACAACACAATTGAAGAGAAACGAGTACAGAAACCCCTCAAAAGAACAAGGTTTGGCAAGAAAGAAAAATGATAGTTGAAATCTGATATGGGAATCTTCCATTATATATGAAATTTCTGTTTCTCTTCTCTTTTTCTATTTTCCATTTTTTTTTTAACACAGTTTCTGTTTTATTTTTACTCCAAAAAAGTTGACCAAATGCCATGTAAGTGGAAGAAAAACAAGATACTGGATCCTCAAAACTGTTCCCCTTGGCAGCCCTTGAACTTCATTTTACTTATTTACTATTATTATTATTTTGAGCTTGTTATACCCGAGATTATAGACTGTTCTTCCATTTCATAGAATTCTATCCATGTTCTTCAAACAATTTCTTTCCACCCAATTTTTAAATGTCATGATCTCAACCTGCAACTTCTTTAAGGTGGGGCTTCAGTAACCTTGTAAACAAAACTTGCTCAACTCCACCGTATATAATGGATTCTCCTGATCCATCTGAAATTAGTCACTAAAAAGGGACAACTTAAATAGCATATAATCGGGTGACTCTTTTACAAAAAAATCAACACAAAAAAGATTAATCTGCAAAATGCAGACAGAACCCAAATTGGTTATACATGTGTAATTGGAACTCAAAAGTGAAACTATTGAGGTAGGGTAGGGCATATAGGTGTGGGAGGCTAGAACAAAAAGTTGGTTGGAGAAACGTCGCAAAGAGCATTGGTGGTGGTGATGGATGTTGTTGTTCCATGTGTGTCTGCTTCTATGTTTCCCTCGCACCACAAAGCTGCTACAAGAAAGAGATGAGTTGTGTGTGAACTAAAATATATAATATTTTGGAAGAGTGTTTAAAGAGGATTAAAAATAATAAAAATGGAAGAGTGGTACTGAAACCCATGGACAAAAATAATATGTAGCAGATGTTGCGCAATGGCACAGCTACACATACTACACACCCAGAGAGGGTGTCCTCAAAAGTATGAACACTTCTGGGGAACCTATACACCTATGCTACCCTATTATACCTCTTTTATCTCTCCCTCCCCCCAAACCTCTTTATATGCTCACACCCATCATTTGCTTTTGGGGCAAAAATCATTCCAAATCAATTTAAACCCTAAACAACCTTATAAAACGCAAACTACTTTGTCCCTAACCCTATAACGCAAACTCTCCGTTCAGTAACAACATTACAATGCTTTATTTCTACACTATATCACAATTTTATGCTTTAAGCATGCTCACAATAGTTTTGTACGCAATGGCATGCATGCATTTTTCAAATTCAAATATTAGTAACCTATTTAGGTGGTTGAAGCTTTAAATCTTTACTCTAAACTAAACATAGATAAGTAGTAATGGATGATATGTATCATTTTTTTTTAGTTTACACTATGAATTCTCAACCCACATTCTTTTATACTAAGAGAGTAGGTTTAGTCTCCCCTGACAATATCTACCACTCAAAAGTGTGCATAAATATGAAAATACTATTACTCAACGAAAGAATACAGATTTAAGAATGAGGAAAAGAATTGGGATCGAATGTTCTATCTTCATTGAAATTCACGACCTTTAAATAGGATACAAGATACTAAATAATATCTACCAAGAAAATATAAACTAACTCAATCCTGATAATAAAATAAAATATACTACTATTCAAATTCAACTGATTACGATATCTAAGATATATTTCCTAACTAATATATTCTGGAATTACGAATATCATATATTCCATAACTAATTCAAACTAAAATAAGTTGCACTAAATTGTGACAGCCTCCCTTAGTGCAAGCTTATTTCTCAATAACTCCGAGAGCTTCTACGAAAAACTTCAAACTTGACTTTGGCAAGTGCCTTAGTAAATATGTCTGCAACTTGCTCATTAGTATGTATTTCCTGCAATTCAATATCCTGCGTTAACACGTTCTCTCGAACAAAATAATCTACGAAGAATTTCTTCCAGTTAGGCTTGCGTATGGACTTCTTAGGCACGCCACCACCTGAATAAGACACTGACACATCATGTTCAATGATTTTCTTCTTAATAAGTTCCACATCGCAGCGATTCAATTCTAATGAGAAAGAGTAATAATTCATCTCAACTTGTGCAGACTCAGCATACTCCATACACCGATGAATTACATCACTGGTAGACTGCAAAAGCTCTTGATCTGCAGAAGCTTTATATCCTTGGTCAAGGTCCAAGTCATCCTTACTATGATCATCAAGGGCATGCTTGAGCTTTTGAGCAAGGGACTCATCTTCTTCGGCTACTCAACCATCATGCTCATCACAAGCACTGTCACCGTTGTCACTAGATGCATAGTCCTGACTTAAGAGGGTATCAAATCGATCATCCAAAAGCTGTCGAGTTCGTGGCTTATCGACATCATCCTCCACATGGTCAACATCTGCCTCCTCAAAGATGTCATCGCCAAAAGATTTATTATTAATAATATTCTGGCTTCCTGTCGCCTTCTCAGAATCCTTAGCCACACTAAACTTATTATCCATTGAACCATCCTCCCCTTCTTCACATAAATTTACCTGAACTACGAAATCCTCCTCCAAGTCCTCAACATCAGAGCCAAATCGTGATAAATCATCATCATCAAGCAGTGCAGCTATTTCTGGGTCAAACTGGGGCGGAGCATCAGTAGCCGAATCCTGCAAATTGGTAGTTTGATCTAAATTCTCCAAGATGAGAAAATCGTCAGCCTCAGAGGGGAGGTAAAGACCGTCAAGATCGTCAAACGTTAGCTCGACAACTTCATTTTCGTCGAATCTCAAATCCAAGGCCGTGGAGTAAACATAAGGGTCATCAGGGGCAATAGAATTGAAATCGGAGAAAAAGAGAGAGTCCAGATGCGAAATTTGGAGAGAATCAAACTCAGAAGCGTAAGTAGTGGAATTAGAATTTTGATCACCTGTAGAAACATCATCTTGATATACGGTTGAAGTCACGTTTGTTGGCTGGTCAAGAACCTCAATGGTTAAGCAATATTCCCAAATTGGATCTGGAGAACTTTTATTTTCATGTACCGCATTTGCTTCTGATTCCTGCATCTTGACTCGACAATTTGGTTTAATATGGCCTGGCTTTCCGCAATGATCACACACCACTTTCGCCTGACAATCTCGTTTAAAGTGGCTTGGTTTTCCACAACTGTAACAAGCTTTAAATGGCTTCTTTGACGACTCGTCATTTTTGAATTGATTCTCATTGCTAGATGAAGGCCTTGAGTGAAAATTCTGTCTCCTTTGATCTTTGACATACAACACACCTTCTAACTTTGGGGAAAACTCGTTGCTGCTAGTCATTTGCTTAATCAAGGCTTCCTGATTGGAAAGAAGATTCTCCAATTCAATTACCGTAGGTTGATTTGCCCACCCTTGTATTGAGGAAACAAAGGGCATAAACTCTTTTCGTAATCCACGAATAAGATAACGCCGTAATCGAGCCTCACTCACGGGCTCCTCAGCATCTAATTCTGAAATTTCAGAACACAGATTTTTCACTTTCAAAAATATTCTTCAACAGAAAAATTACCTTGAGTTACCATAGCTAGTTCATTCTCTAGAAATTGCAGTCGAGCGGTATTTTTCTTAGTGCACAACTTTTGAAGTGTATCCCATACTTGCTTTGGTGACTTTAAATCACGAACATGATCAATATACTCCTTGCTAATCAAAGTTCGCAAGGTAAATAAGGCTTTTCCGCACTTGATCTTCCATTGTTGACGTAATTTTGCATTTTGTGGAGTATCGGCTGGAATTTCTGTGTCATCACCTTCAATTAAATCCCATAAATCTTGAGATAAGCTTCCATGCATAACTTCCAATAACTATAGTTATTGCCAACCAGCTTTTCCATAGCTACACCCATAGAAGCACTCCCACTATTCATCTCGTTGAGTAATAATATTAAACCGTACCAACTTGGCTCTGATACCAACTGACGCAATATCTACCACTCAAAAGTGTGCATAGATATGAAAATATTATTACTCAACGAAAGAATACAGATGTAAGAATGAGGAAAAGAATTGGGATCGAATGTTCTATCTTCATTGATATTCACGACCTTTAAATAGGATACAAGATATTAAATAATATCTACCAAGAAAATATAAACTAACTAAATCCTGATAATAAAATAAAATATACTACTATTCAAATTCAACTGATTACGATATCTAAGATATATTTCCTAACTAATATATTCTGGAAGATTACGAATATCATATATTCCATAACGAATTCAAACTAAAATAAGTTGCACTAAATTGTGACATCCCCAACACTTTATATACTCTACAATTATTATTTTAACAACTAATTAAAATATTACTAAAATTTTCGGCCATAAAACACTCCAAAACAACCTTCAAAAATGTCTTTCATGCAGCTATAAATATATATATATATATATTCAAATCTCATTAACTGTAAAACATGCTTACAAAAATAGGTTTCCAAACATCAAGTTCTGACCTTCTGAAAAATTAAGTGGAAGAGATCATCACATTCTTCACATATTTTACACCCAAATTCATCGTAAACTTAGAAAGTGTTGAAATTTTCACAAGAGTAAATTGTAGAAATTGTTCGATTAATACCTTATAGTAGCTTTTTTTCTTTTCCCATAAATCATAGAAAAAGTATTCTCATGTATATACAATGAAAAAAGAAAAAAGAAAGAAATTTAATCCCTTCTGATAGTACATGGTAGAAACCTAAATTTTGTTCTCGTAAGACGCTAATAAATGGCGATACAGACTTGCAGCATTGGGTGTCCAATTTTGAAGTCATAATTTTGTTTTATAAAATAGTACACTATTTCCAAAGATTTCAAAATAATATATAACGTACCATTTTCAAATTTAATTAGTTATTATTGTTTAAATATAAACTTAAAAAGCATTATTGTTTGACGTTAAGATCGATGTAGTTAACTTTGTTTTTTTATGTCACATTGATGTAGTTACTTGGAACCATTAACCAAGCATGCAAAGAAATTATTAATTTTTCTAGAGAATTTTAAGCACAATAAATGCATGCCCACCTTTGGAAGAGTCAAGGGACTATGCAAGTATATTCATCCTTAGAGTTTGATTTTGGAGACATCTCAGACATCTCAAACATCAAAGACATCACAGACCTCTCAGACATCAAAGACATCTCAGACCTCTCAGATATCTTAGATCTCTCAGACCACTCAAACCTCTCCGACATAAAAAACATCTCAGACATTAAAAACATCTCAGACATATCAGACATCTCGAACATC